AAGGATGGTTGATATCTGTAATTTGGTGTAGCTTTGGTGTAGCCTTCCAGGCCGTCAAAAAGAAACTTGAGATCTTAACGAGTGCGGTTTGAATGACCAGTGATTACACTGAGAGAAAAAGAATGAACGCCCGAAGACGTCCAACACAAAGAGGCAGCCTTTTAAGCAGTATTTTCCTGCTATTTCCCCAGCCCATCATGCGGGCGCTGTCTTAACCTTTGGCCATTGCCTGACCACAATGATTCATAGCAGAAACAAAGAATAAAATCACGATGGCGAGGGTTTGCAAGATATAAAGTTTATGCCGTGGCCCAACCTTGACGTTGGTGATGTTTTCAGGTCATGCATGATGGGGCTGGGAGGCCATGCTGAAGTGGCAGGCGACCAATCTGATGGTCGCGCGTTGGGGTCAGCTGCCCGACTTGCTCCCACCTGCCACCTGCCAAACTCTAAATTTCCATTTTTCCTTGGTTTTGCTGTTCGATTTCCACCGTTTGAAATTATGTCAGCCAAACTTGGAAGGAGCCCGGTGGACTTACCAGCTCAGGGTGTTTACCGTGGTCGGATTTGACCTTCGGTGAACCACCAGTCATCAACAGAACTTGATCCTGAAGGTCGCTTTTTTGTCGTTTGATTGACTTCCATCCACATGATCGAAATCCATCATGCGCCGCCAGAAAGTCAACCAGCACTGTTCTCAACTGATCAATAATTTCTTGGATATTTTCTTCTATTCTCCAAATCTCTTGTCGCCCAGATCGACGGTTAGGGTTCCGAATGATGTAAGCTCACTGACGAGACATCGTGATATGAACTGCGCTCATATTCTCTGCAACAGAAATGGTAATGTAAGCGACGATCAACTACTGCCGGCCATACCGATCTTACTAGACCATGACCGTGTAACCTCAACCTTGTTCCTCATCTGTGTGCTCCCTTCATACAGATCTTTCACCTTGACCGGTTCGATGAGTCTTGGCATAATCTGCCACCGCAGATTCTTCCTCGCTGACAGATTATATCTATTATAAGCGGCTTGTCTCGGTCAGTTACTACTCAACTAGTTATTGCTCTATCTGCCTTTCCATCCGGCTGCCGGCAGTTACTTCTTGTCACCATGTTATCTACCGGAATGCTACACCCCTGAACTGACTGGGTTTGATGCAGATATCCCAAAGCCTTCTCGTACTACATCTATTAGGTTGCACAGCAGAACTTTACAGAAGAGCTCTGCATCACCGAATGCTGGCAGAATGACTACGGTATCTAAGAAAGGAACGTGTATTGCTAAGTGTTCAGATACTGACGACAAAGACAAAGGATCGATCAAGAATGACCCTGTGCATGGACCGCAGAGCCTCTGGCGGGAGTGCCCGTCTTCGGGTCAGGGACAAGCTATCACGTATCCCGACCTCGGCGGCTCGGCACCTACCATGGCCTTTGGGTGTATTAGCTTTATGAGTAAGCAACCTGCCCATGTCGGAGTTCATGTTTAACTCGCCCGGCAGACTGGCTCTGTGAGACAAGAGAATGGTAGGTATGGGATGATGACTGCCGATGACACAAGTTCGCTCGCTTTCCCCTCATGTTGTGTACGTGCCAAGGTGAGGAGGTTGACAGGAACCTACGAGGGCTCTCGCACTATGGGTGCCACGGCATGACGGCATCACAAATCAGGCACCGAGTCCCTGACCTCAACAGACAGACTACAGTTGCATCCCGTCGATCCGGAGGCCTGACAGGTCGTTCAGTTCCGTGTCCTTCTGCACCATGATGGCCACGTGCCCTCTGCAGTCTGCAAACCCCTGAGGCTTCCGACATGAGACATTCCACCCAATGAGAACGTCGACTGTAAGCAGCCACCTGAATACTTGGACATCAGTTAACGTGGCGTGGTAGGTGAAACTGGACTATCTAATGGCTGATACAGTGATACTGAAGAATACCAATAGTAGATTGTGGTTTGAGTCGGTCATTGCATTGTATTCAGAGCCTTTGCGGACTTTTTACAACATGATGGCGGAAATTAGGGACTACCTACTTACCTACATCGCTCTATCAACCCCATGTACAGTACGCGCCATGCGTGTTGGCTGAGGCGACAGATTTCTCCCCTCGGTCCGATCTGGCGAGGCCTTGGACGTCCCCATCGTCAAAACTCGGGCGTAGTTCGAACTGAATCTCACCACGCTGATCATCTTTGACATATAGGTGATGATACGGGGAAAGAAAGCACACCTCACGGCGGTGAGCTGATTTCTCATCTTTGCATCAAAGGCATATCATGGAGGACTCAATCCGTGGGACGATGGCTCGAACGGGCAGGTCGACATTCTGACAGCGCCGCTTCTACTGAGATATTTTACAGCACGGAGACACGGAGTAATGAACATGGAGACATCGGCAGAACAGTCTTTCACGATGCTGACTGTAAATGAGACACACTCACCATCATAGTCCGTCGAACTTCCTTTTCCGGGCTTCCAGAGGCAGGCTGACTACAGCGGCAGAGATATGCCGGTCTTCGGAACAGGCTTGGAGTCCTCTCCTCTCGAAGTCACTAGATCCTAGCTTCTCAAGGTCCACGACATGAAAGCCACAGGTCAAGTCATGTTGTGACATCTATATCAAGGACGCTCTCTCCTCACTTTCGCTACCCCTTTTTTTTATCATCATTCTCACCATCAGGAGTCCAAGCATACCAACAATAGTACTTTACCCACCACAAAAAAACCCTTTTGACCCCCCCCCCCCCCCCCCAAACCCACCAAAATGCTCATCCCAACCAGCACACTCACCACCCTCTCGGGTGGCCTTCCTCTCCCTCGCCTCCGCAGCCCCCACCACACCCGCCCCGGCCTCACCCCTCGAGGTTGAAGCCCGTGAGATTGCTGCCCGCGCTAGAGGACAATTCACTTGGTACAACACCGGCCTGGGCGCCTGCGGAAAGTGGAACAACGACGGTGAGCTCGTTGTTGCGCTTAACCGCCATGTATTTGATCCTCAAACCCCGAATGGGAACCCTAACATTTATCCTTTGTGTGGGAGGGAGATTTTGGCCAAAAGAATTTGAGAAAAATGATGATAACAGGGTTGCAACTTTTTTTTTTTTTTATTTTTTAATGGGATCCTTAACAAAGGGTATAAATATAATATATAAATTATTT